TTTTTTTTTACAGGTATTTGGAGGGGTTTGGGGGAGAGTTCAAGCAAGTCACTGCTTTCACTCCACCATCTTGGCTCTGCCCCCCCTTAAAAACTTTAAAAAAGTTATTTCAATGCTATGAATTTTAAAACAGAATTGCAGAATTTTCAAGATGCTTTGTATTGCTCTCACTTAACTGTAAGTAAGAGGAGCTGTGTAGTACCTGGCTGAGAAAATAAACAACTTTGCTTGATTCAATTTTTAACTAGGTAAATGTCATAGTTACTCAAGCAGATGAAAATTTATTATTAAACACTCAACACGTGTTTGTGTTGGAAGTCAGTAAGGACGCTATGCTAAGCAACAGATATTACGTTCATAATCAAATCAATGTACATTTGTTTTTCTCTAGTGGTAAACAGATTGCAACTCATCCATACTATCTCATCTGTAGACAATAATGACTGACACAGGCTGTTTATTATTCCTCACTCTCTCGTCGTCTTCAATGATTTTTTCAATTACTATTTATTTTACATGTCCTGTTTTTCATTATTCATAATGAAGAACCTGCTAACATTCTAGGCCTGTCAGTTGCTTAGCTTCTTCAACTTTCATGACACCAACTCTCATTTTACTTTTGCTGTCCAAGGAGATCCTCACACTTCAGTTTTCTCACCTCTTAAAAGTGGCCCCCTAACTTAACTTTAAAAAAAAAACAAACTGTGAATGGCCCAACCACTGAGGAAAAAAGACCAAAAACCTGGGATTGCACCAGCTTGCTTAGGACAGGGTGGGAAACTTGTGGCCTTGAGGGGGCAGGTTCCCCCTACCAAGGAGGCTAAAGCCAAGAGGATAGGTCCCAATTGTCAAATCTGTGTGGAGTAGCAAAGAAACGGGATCAAAGTAGATGTCCACTAATTTGGGAATGACTAAACAAGAATGTAATGAGAAAACAAATATGAGGAATTAGGAGAAGCTTAGGAAGCTTAAGAGAAGCCGGGTGCATCGACAGAAGGTGACATAAAGAGAACCATAAAAATAACAGATATATGATGTAAATGGAAAAATAAAAAGTGAAGTATTATCGTAATGATCAAGAAGCTTTCCTGAGAGGTAGAGCTAAGATGGCCAAGTAAAGGCACAGCCTGCCTCAGGTCTCCCCCAAACTCCTCCAAATACCTTTAAGAATGATTCTAAACAAATTCTAAAGCAGCAGAACCCACAAAAAGACAGAGTGAAATGAATTGCCAGCCCAAGACACCTGAGGAGGTCGGCAGGAGAGGTCCATCATGCTTGGGTGAGGGTGGAGCACAGTCCAGCACAGCCCCAGCCCCAGCAAACTTGGAGCAGCCCTGGCGTGACTGAACCAGCAGCAGCGGTAGCAGCTACTTCTGGAACTCTGAGCCCACAGATGGTAAGGGGGTCAAAGAGCTGGTCAGAAGGAGATTACAGGGGTCTCTTTGCTGGCACGGAGGCAGTACTCTGTGGCTTTGCCTGAGCTTGGATCTGGGTCACAGTCCTGCGTGGTGGTCCTGGGGTGAGGAAGAGTACTGGCATAGCACAGTTTGTGGCCGCAGTGGAGGGGACACCCTGCTCACAGGGCCAGGGTGGAAAAGAGTGCTCGTGGTCACTCACAGGCCAGAGCGCAGATCAGGAGAGGAGTAAACACCTCTCTTTAGATCACTGCACCTTGGAAGAACTGAAAACTTACATATTGAAAAATTTTATCCATCCCTAGAGAAAGAACTGATGATAAATACAGATTGAACAGGGTTGCCACATCTATGAGATATTCCCCTCTTGAAAATATTCTGGATTACTTCTGCTTCTGGGAGCTAAGTTGGTAGAGTAAGAAGTAAGTCGTGCTCACTCTCCCTCACTGACCTCTGAAGGCCCAGAAAATAAAGCCTCAGGAAAAACCCTGAAACCACTGAGCCACCAGAAAGATGGGGTGCAGAAGTCTTGTAACCCAGGAAGCCTGGGAGACTAATGGGAAAGGCCCTCGTGCTCTGGGGGGAGGGGAAGCAGCACAAGACTGGAAGTGTCCCAGTAACCTGGGAAGACTTATATGAACCAATGCTGAGTAAAATGAGCAGACCCCGGAGAACATTATACACAGTAACAGTCACATGATGCGATGACTAACTTTGATGGACTTATCTTGTCTCAGCAATGCAAGGATCTAATACAACTCCAAAAGACTCATGATGGAAAATGCTATCCACATCTGGAAGAAAGAGCTATGGAGTCAGAATGCAGATGGAAGCATATTATTTGCTCTCCTTTTCTTTTGTTGTTTTGTTTTGTTTCTTCTTACTCAGGGTTCCTCCCATTAGTTCTAATTTTTCTTTACTTCATGATTAATGTGACAATAGGCTTATTGTGACTATATAGGTAGACCCTATATCAGATTACGTGCTGTCAGGGGGGAGGGAAGAGGGAGGAGGAGAGGAATGGGAAGAAAATTTAAAACTCAAAATCTTATGGTAGTGAGTTGAAAACAAAAAATAAATTAACTAATAAAAAATACAGATCAAAGTATCCTTTTTTTACTTTATTTTTCTTGAAGTATTTGGGTTTTTTGTCTATGTTTTATTTCATAACATGCCAATATGGACATGTATGTGTGTACGCGTGTATACATATACACACAAATACATATACACATACATACGTATGTATTTTTGTTTATGTGTGTGAGTATATACAATACTTATACACATCACTACACATGTATAACCTATATTGAATTGCTTGCCTTCTCAATGATGGAAGCTGGGAAGGGAGGAAGGGAGAAAATTTGGAATTCAAAGTTACAAAAATGAATGTTTCAAATTTTTTTTATATGTAACCAGAGAAAACTAAAATACTAAATTAAAAAAAATAAAGTACATCCCTGCACATCTCAATTTTAAATACAGAAAAATGTTCTATGCACCCAGCCTGCCAGTACAAATGGAAGTTAGAAGAATAGGTCCAGGACTTCCATGTGCTACATTAGCCTATGAGGTAACCCAAGTGAATTTATTGCAGTTTGGGAGATGAAGCAAAAAGCTGATATGCCTGAAGTCACACAGAGAGTAAACAATATAGCTGTGATTTGAACTCAGACTAACTTTAAATCCAGCATTCTATCATTTACTGTTTAATATTTAATAGATAGTGTAATATTTTTCTGTCCATCATCCATCTATTATCAATACATCTGCCTGTCTCAATAAATATGCATCTAATATCTGTCTATGCACGCATATCTATGTATTTACTTATCCATTAATCCACTCATCTACCCATCCATAAGTCTCCAATGCTAAATTTTTCTCTTAGGTTTTAGCAATATTCATATGATTGTTATTATTTAGATAGCAAAAAACAACAACAAAACAACAGCAATAATAATGGAGGTCAGGGTTCTTGAACATCTAGAAATGATTTCAGAAAAACCTGGGAAGAACTTCAGGAACTGATACAAAGTGAAGTTAGTAGAACCAAGACAATTTTGTACACAGTGACAGCAACATTGTGTGATGATCATCTGTGAATGACTTAGCTCTTCTCTGCGATACAATGATCCAATACAATTCCAAAGGCCTCATGATGAGGCATGGTATCCACCTCCGGAGGAAGAACTGATACTGTTTGAGTACAGACTAAATCACACTGATGATTTCCCATGACATGACATGACCTCCCTTCCCTTTCCTATGTAAATTTTGATGGCTGAAACCTAGCAAGGTATCTTGGGGTTTACTGACTAGATTCTTTCTTAAAGACCATGCCTTAAACTCAATTCACTCTGGCTCTCATTGACTGGCCAACGATAGGTCCCAGAACTGTGCTGAGTGGTCTTTGTTTGGCCCCAGACCTTGTGAATGTATGTCAGTAGTAACTGTTTCTCTTTTGGGCAGAAACTCTTATGGTTTTTGACTCTAGGTTGTTTTTTTTAATTAGGTAAAAGAGACATTGTCTCATTTCTTACCTAACCTTTACCACTAAACAGGCACTGCCTCAGTCACAGTGTGACCTGAAATAGACCTCAACGTAAAAATGCCAGGATCCCCAACTACTTCCCGGCCCATGTGCAGTTGTCCTGATCTATAACTGGGCACCAGACCCACACAACTCCAAAGAAGAAAGTGAGGTGGTGACTTTTTAATACCCTCCCTCAGTTAAGTGCAATTCATTCACAACTCATGGCATAACATTCCTGATGTCATATTTCTTTTGCAGAATGGAGGATCACAACGTATGAGTATTCTCAGCTGCCCCATTAGGCACCCAACTGGCTACTTACCATGCGGTAATACAACTCCATCCTTCCTTCTACGTGACTTCTTTTCACCCTCCTTTCTTCCCCTTTTCATTTTTCCTTCCTACCTTGCTTCCTTTCTTCCACCCTTTCCCTTCCCTTCTCTTGACTATTTCCTCTCACCCTGTCCTCAAAGGACACTCACCTACAGATGCCCTGACCAAAGGAATGTCAATTTTGATGGCTGAAATGCAACAAGACTTCTTGGAGTTTACAGGCTATTTTACTTTCTTATAGACCCTACCCTAAATCCAAATGACTCTGGCTTTCACTGACTGGGCACTCATGGGTCCAAGACAAAGCCCCACTTAGTGGTCATTGTTTGGGCCCCAGATGGTTCAGAGTGAATGTAAATAGTAACGGTTTCTCTTTTGGCTCGAAACCCTGAGGGTCTTCCTCTCCCAAACTGATTTTTTTTTTTAATCAGGTAAAAGGGACCATTCCTTCTCATTTCTTACCTAGCCTTAATCACCAAATGAGTCAGTCAATGTGAGACCTGAGAAAGACCTCGGCATAAAAATGCCAAGGTCTTCCACTGCATCTAGGGCTGTTTACAATCATCCTGATCCACATCTGGCCAATGGAGTCAGACAGCTTTGGAGGAGAAAGTGAGGCTGGTGACTTTGCACAGCTCTCCCTCACTTAATGCATGTCATGGCGTTACCTCCTTGATGTCATAGTCCTCTTTGAGAACAAAGGACAACAACAACAAATTATATTATCTTTCACTTTTTTTCTAGTCTTCTTGCACAAAATGACTAATATGGAAATATTTTACATGATTGCACATATATAGCTTATATCAGATTGCTTACCATCCCAAGGAGAAGGGAGGGGAGTGGAAGATAGAGAATTTGAAATTTGAAACTTCAACAAAAAAAATGTTAAAAACTGTTTTGACATGTAATTGGGAAATGAATTAAAATACTGTTGTTGTTGTTTTTTTTAATCAAAATGCTTTAAAAACAGCTTAAGGGGCAGCTAGGCGGCACAGTGTATAGAGCACCGGTCCTGAAGTCAGGAGGACCTGAGTTCAAATCCAGCCTCAGACCAAACACTTGACACATACAAGTGGTGAAAGTCACTTAACCCCAATTGCCTAAACAAACAAACAAAAAAAAAGAACAAAACACACACACACACACACACACACACACACACACACACACCTCATGCATTCAGGGAGGGAAAAAGTATGCATATAAAGAAAAACATTTATATAATGACCCTTTAGCCATGCCTGTGAATACTCAGCATAAAACACCAATGAACAGATATTGGTATTTGAACCAATTAACCTCAATAAGGAATTTAATATATGCAGATTTATACCAACCTTAACTGTTGAGGAACGCAATAGGGATGATCGCCTATCAAGTTTTTGTCGTTTCTGTTCTGTTAAGAGGGAAAACAACAATCACAAGAAACATACTGTTATTTCAGATTTACTTCTTCACCAAAGACCCTAGGGATGCTCAAAAAGAATATTTTTTCCATTAAAAACTGAATTGAGCTGTTACTTTTTTTAAAATTTCACTTACCCTTTCCAGGCTCTAATGTTTCCAGCCTGAGACCTGGTGACTTTAAGAACCCAACAGCTACTACTTTTTCTCCTCCTTTTCTACTTTCCTTGCCTTTGTTTTCCTTTGGAATATCTCTTTCTTTGGATGGTTCCTTTTCTCTTTCTTTTTCTGGAATTAATTTTGAATCTACCTCACCCATCTTGCATTTTTCATCTTTCGAAGCCTTTTCTTCCTTTTTAACTTTTTCTTTGTCACACTTGAGCATTTTTTCTTTTTCTTTTGTTTCTCTTGTTTTTCCATCTTTGTTTGTCCAGTCATCCTTTGGCTTTTCTTTACTCTCTTCACCAAATAGGTTAGCCTCAGCAAAAGCAGAAGAAATCTTTTCTTTTTTCTCTTTCTCTTTACCCATTTCTTCTTTCTCACTGTCTTTGATAATTTTACTGTTTAATAAAACAAAAAGTAGATACATTCTCCAATTTAAAAGATACGATTATTTTATCTTAGAGTATCCTTAGTTTTATATACATAAACTAATTCAATCAGCCAATATTTGCTAACACATAGCACCACACTTGTCATACTGACTTCCCAATTGATAAACACTAAAATACACTAGAAGATACTAAAGGTATAGTGACTCACGGGATAAAGACCTTTTATGCAATGTAACACAGTACCTACACTGGAGAGGATGTTATATGAATATCTTCAATACAGAGAAGAACATAAAAAGTTTTGAGTTTACACGGAAAAAAATTGGAAAGTAAAATTAATGGAGAACATTGCCAACTTAAATATTTTTAGCTTATTCCTGATTTTTCTTTGGTAATAAGGTTAAAGTTCGGGACATCCACCTGTGATTTCAGCAAAGTACTGGTAGGTTAAGTGACCTGCTCAAGGTCCTATAGTCAGTATATATCAAAGGGTGTACTTTAATTTCCAACTAATTTTAATCGTTCTTTAATGGTCATTTAGTGAATGTAATTTGATTGGATATCAGTAAAGGAAATGTTTAATATTTCTGTTATTCTGTATTTGTTCGTATAGTTTTTATGCCTAATTTACCTGGTCAGCTTTTGTAAAGGTTCCATGTACAACTGAGAAATATTTATTCTCCTTCCGAGTACCAATCAATAACGACAGATAACTATTCTAACTTTTTAAAAATTTTCTTCAGGTTATGAAATTAATTTATTCATTCTTCTCATTTATTTTATTACCAGTTAAATATTACCAGTTAAAACACAGTAGAGTAGCACTCCTTACCTGCTGAAAATACTGTTTCCATTACCTGTAGTCATTTTTGATGCTATACTGGCTGTTTTACTAAGAACTTTCAGAGAACACTGAACATTTTCCTTTAACTTATCTGAAATTTCAAAAAAAAAAACAAAACAAACCCAAGATTTACTCAATAAATCCCTAAGTTTGAAAAAGATGACTGAATAATATTTGTTGGGTAGTTGTTCCAGTAATGTCTGATTCTTCATGACCTTCTTTGGGATTTTCTTGGCAAAAACACTTTTCCAGCCCTCTTACCCATGAGAAAACTGAAGCAAAGAGACTTAATAGTTTAGCCTGGGCACACAGCCAATAAGTGCCTCAGGCCAAATTTTAAATCAGGAAGATGATTCATCCTGACTACAGCCCCAGTGCTCTATCCTCTGCGTCACCTCATTGCTTTTAAACAATGGTATCCCTTAATTCAGGTTAAGCTACTTAACATTTCCTCAAGAAAAAATTCTGATTTTTCTGACCCCCCCAAAATGTTACACTGATATTACAGATCTGTAACAGCCACATCCCTTTATATCAATGTGAAAGTTACACCTGAAATTAAGTTGTTAAGAGAGGAAAGAGTGAGCTCTCTTTTTGCCCCTCTTGTTGCAGTAAGAAAGGTGGTTTTTCCAACCAACAAAAACTTTTTTTTTTTTT